TGATTTTACATGATATTGCATTTGTTATCAGGATTTCAGTTGGCATGATTTGCTTTTCCTTATGACTTTATAGCTGACATTGATTTGGCAACTATAACTGATCGGATGGCAGTTAAGAAGGCAGTGCAGTGTGGTAATGTGGAGGATGCAATTGAAAAGGTTAATGATTTGAACCCTGAGGTATGCTATTTCATCTTCTTAATTGTGCTTGTCTCTCACCTATCACGTTTTTTTTTAAAAAAAAAGGGATAAAGTAAAAAAAGCCATCTTTAGAGTCTTACCAACTTTACATCAATAAGTTCTATATTTATGCGTAAACTCATAAAGCATGAGTCGAACTGTATATTGATGTGTTTGTGAGGCGCATTATATACAATTGTGCGAATTCTCTACGTTCACTGCCGAGTCAAGACATTGAGATTTTTGGTGATTACAAGCATGAAATTGATACATGTAGATGCAATTGATTGGTGCATGATGCTATTTCTTCCCCATCCTTCTTCAAGAAAGAAATTAAGGGAAAAAAGGAATAATAGAAGAGAAAGAGGAAGGGAATTTTAAAGGAAAGACTAGACCCTTGGTGATAAATCCCTGCACATGTTTCAGCTTAAATTTTATGTTTGAATTGCTTTAATCTACTTTCAAACCATGCTGTGTACTGTTTTTGATAAGATTGCTTTATGAAAATTTAGCTGAATCATGTTTAAGTTAATGGTGATGTATATGAAGGCATTGTAAAATACTGTCATTAGATTGAATAGATCTTGCCTGTGTTTTTTTTTTTTTTAAATTTGGAGGATAATATTAGCCTCAACATGTGAAACTTCTGGCAATAGTAATGAGGTTCTTCACATTCACAAGGAAGTCCTGTCAGCATCCTCTGCAATTGCTATTTACTAGATGGGATATAGTAGGAGAATGTTGCCATTTCTTTGTGTGTAATACTGACAGAATGAACTTGGCATCTTGCATTTCCTTGATTATAAGTACCTAAGCTGTATCTTTGATGGATTAATGTATTTGGTTTGATGACTAAGTATTGGGGTTGATTTTGGTTTGAGTATTCGGTTTCATGATCTGTATTATCTATTCTGGAATCAAACATAGATTGACTAACATTTAATAGACGAGAAGTGCTGATTATTTAAGTTGAATAACTTATTAGAAACTAAACAAAAAGGCCTATTGAAAAGTATTTGTTGCTCATGATAGGTGCTAGCCGGATTTTTTTATTATTATGGAGCCATTGCAGTTCAGTATGGCATAAAATATGATTTATGTACTAGGCATGATACTGGAACAATTTTCCTTGTGCAATATTCATTTGACTGAAGATTCCGGTATGTGAAGAAGAATTTTTTTTTTACTCAATGCTACATTGTATCTTTAATGTTAACTATGGTTTTGCCCTTTCATTTCTATATTCAGTTTCATAGTGCATTACTCCATTTATTATTTGAGTATATCTGTAAAGGAGGGAGACCTTCCTTTGGAAATGTCTTGTTTGTTGCTTTTGCCACATGGTGCTGTCTAAGCACAAGCAAGAAACATGTAAAGTTTGCCCTTTTATTGCTTAAAAAACTATTCATTTGTGGAGGAAAATGGTAAAATATGTGTTGAAATAAAAAAAGGGGAACATATGTGTTTGCATGCTTGAAGGCAAGTGGCATTCTGGTTCTTGGCTCAATTGAACTCATATCACATAGTAAGAAATCAAGAATTTTGTTGACAGAACAGATTTGACTATGGAGATGTTGCACCTTTTGACATTACATAACACTAGGCTGAAGCTTAATGGGATTTTGTCATGTAAAATATCAACCATGTCCTTCGTTTCATGGAACAGTGATTTATACTTTAGTTTGAGATGAGAGTTATTCCAGTATCTCCTATGAATCTATCTCTTGAGTTCAACAATTTTGAAGCTGTGATGTTTATGATGTTCATTACTTTTGATCAAGATATAATCGAAAATTTTCATGCAGATATTGGATACAAATCCCCAGCTCTTTTTTCATCTTCAACAACAAAGGTTGATAGAATTGATCAGAAATGGAAAAGTCGCTGAAGCTTTAGAATTTGCTCAGGAGGAACTTGCTCCAAGAGGAGAGGAAAATGTAATTCTTAGCTTGTTATGTAACGCACTTGTTTATATTCTCCTCCATTTACTAATTCTACCAAATGCTTGTTAGTCAAGTCATGACTGCTTTTCTACATCTTAATTGACTCAATTTCATTAGTCTTTATTTTGGTTACATTTTTGGTTAGCTTGATTTTTTTAAGTATCAAGCTTAATATTCTTGCATTATTTGTCTCAATACTTGATTCTTACTAGAGCAGGACATTTTGCAGCAAAGCTTTTTGGAAGAGTTGGAGAGGACTGTTTCCCTATTAGCTTTTGAAGATGTGAATAACTGCCCTGTTGCTGAGCTTCTGGATATATCCCAGCGCCTTAAGACCGCAAGTGAAGTGAATGCAGCAATCCTTACCAGCCAAAGCCATGAAAAAGGTTACTCTTTATTCTCCAAAAGTGCTTCTGTAAAACTTGATATGATTTGTGGTAAACATAGAAAGAATGCTTATCAGTCTTTTACAAATGTCTTTGATTATTGCCTCCTCTGAAGTTATAACAGAGTTTCAGTTCTTACAGACATGGTAAAGGTTTACTTATCTGTCCTAATGTCAGTGTTAAAGTCATTATCATGCTCACCGATGTGCATTTATTGGCTATTGAGGTTTATAAGGTACAATTTTGAACAGTAATTAGAGCTGTGAACGAATAAAGTTAAGCCAAGTATTATATGGGTAAAAATTATGCTCGGTCGGCAATTAGTCAAAAGTTGAGTAACTCAGAAACTATCAAGTCAAAACTTTGTCCAAAGTCAACCCGTCAGAAATCATAAGCAAGCTCTTTCTAAGCTCATTCGGCTCATATAGTTAAATCAGATTATGTTTTTTTTTTTTTTATCTCTTGCTAATCTGGCAAAAATTTGAACATTTTGAGTTCAAGGGTAGCAGCATCAGAAGATATGAGACTGCCCAAACATGAAAAGGAGAAAAAAATATGTACATCATTAGAAATGAGAATAGAAATGAGAATCCATATTCTCTGCAAAACAACTTAATCAAACATTCATACATATTATGGCTCCAACTTTGATTTCCAAGGCTTAGTGGCAAGTGGAGTCAGTGTTCAATGTGAATTCTATTGTTTACGGGTGTGACAGTTATACGCTGACATATTTCTCTTGTGATGTCAAGGAGTGTGATTAATTAAATATCAAATTATTAAAACATTGCAGAAATTTTATTGCTAATGCTCGTGGATACGTACTATATTATTGTTTGTCGTTATGCTTTAGAAGTTCAACATATCCTTGAATGTTCTCTCATGATGACTGGAAAACAGATCCCAAGCTCCCAAGTTTGTTAAAGATGCTGATCTGGGCACAAAACCAACTTGATGAGAAGGCTGCTTATCCTCGCATAAATGATATATCTACTGCCACCCTTGAAGATCCCGGTGTTTGAAGGACATGAAAACTCCTTGATTGTTGATTGAAGTTATGCCCATCTGGAGGCACTGCTCATTCAACGGGTACGACAGCAAAGAGCTGCAATACGGTGTATCTTGGAAGAAAGTAGTTGGTCAGTCATTCATGGATGTCATTTTCATTAATTTATACTACTTTACTAGGGCAATAGGTCTCTCCACAGAAAGCAAACTTGGTGTACAGCCAATGGAAACAGTCACGTATTGCACCGTTTTGTTCCGAATGTGGATTCTTTGCCAATCTCATGTATAATAAATGATACTCCTTGTGTCCGCTTTCCTTTACAGTATCATTAATGATGAATTTAGTTTGTTATCTAGTAGTACAACAGATGGGAACAGTGATGGCTCTCTCTCTCTCTCTGTATATGTCCGCTTTTTGTCAGTGTGGATATTAAATAAACGCGTAAAGTCACTTATTATTCACAACGAAAAGCGTATCTGCTGTCTATACCGCACGGAAAATTAATAAATTTCTGGGTCTCTCTGTCTCATGTTTATTGTTGCCAATACTAATGTATTAGGCTGTTTTTGAGAGTAGGCCAGGGGTGATTATTTGCTAAAAGGCCACTGGATAGACCATATGTATTAAAGAATCGAAGTTTGGAAATGTTCGTAACTTAATCAAGAGTATAGCCAAAAGGACACTATTTTCGTACTCTTGCAGCAGGTAGCAGAAGAGAATCACAAGGAAAGTACTGTAAAAGGTAAACAAAAACTTGGAAATAAACATGAATTTGACTCATATATGGTAGTAGAAAATGTGGAAACACAGAACTGCGTAAGAGTTAAGACTCCACCCAGATGATATAAATCCAGGTAGTATTATTGGTCTTGCAAGAGCTCTGCAGTTTGGAGTTGGATGGCTGCTGGTAAAACACCGTTGTTGTTTTCTCTCCCGATTCATGAGAGCCGTCATCAAAGTTGAGGGCATAGCTCGAAGGATCATAGTGGAATTTGAATTGATGTTTACCTTTTCCACCACCACCAGCGCTCCTGATGGCCTTCTTCGCTGCTGCCCTTACTCTGCAGAAAAGGCTTCTGCACTGCTTCTTGCTGTAACTGTTCACCCGTGAGAGACTTCCTCCCAATGCCATCATGCTAAATGTACACCGTATATCTTGCTTTTCTCAGTATCTCAAAACGAAGAAGAGCCAAACCCTAGTTTCTGAGCCAAAACCATGCCAAAGTAACCTCTTTCGAATTTCGATAGTGCAGCTTTCACAGCAGAGAAGGCGCTTGAAATCTATCTTTATCTGCAATTAGAAGCACGTCATGGTCAAGAATAAAGGACAAACATTTGGGATGATGTGAAATGGTAGGCAAATGCTCTGCTGGATTTTTTTTTTTTTTTTTGTTTGATGTGGTTCTTGAAGTTCTTCCTGGAGGGGAAAAAGAAAGATAGTTCCAACAAAGCTCGGAAGATAGTACCCAAAAATGACTTGCGATGTTACGTGGGAGAGACCCTTTCTACATTTACGTAGAAGTACTCAAAGAGAATACTAAGGGAAAAGCTTCCAAGTTTTTAGTTGATGAGACCAGAAGGAAAGACAAAATAAAATGCAAATGCCGGTGTGTAGTTGTGTTGGCATTTAAAGGAAACTGCGCCCTACCAATTGCAGGCTTCCCCACAGACCACAGTAGCACTGTTTTTTCTTGCATCGGGAGACTCAAATTCCATGATCCAGAGAGAGACAGAGACAGTTTGCTATGGGAAGAGAGCCCTGTCCTTGAAGGCCTGAAGCATCACAATCCTAGCTGTTGTTAAAAAAAACAGTCCTCAGCTGAATTCCTCGGCAGTTAATAATCAAACCCTCGTTTCTATTACTAGTAGCATATACTAGTAGCATGTAGGTCACAGTATTGGATACTACTTCCAGTTACATGGGTGCAACATTTTGTGGAAGCTAAAATCACTTGGGCGATCAGGGCAGCTGATATTTCGGATAGAAAGGAGTAGTTAACTTTTGACAAAGGTTTTGAAGTTTTCAAAGATTTTGTTTGTGCAAATTTTTAGTTAGAATTAGTTGAGGCAATGTGGCTAAATTTTACTAATCACCTTTTGATAATACAAAGGACTCACCCATTCCATGATCTGTGATTAAGCACCAGCAGATTTGTTGGCTTTGTATTCATTCCTCTAGAGATGCAATACTGGGCAATAAATCCTTGTATAAAGGCGTATTATTTAGTGCCACCTGAATTTGAAGTATGAGGGTGTCCGTTAAGATATATTTTTAGGTGTCATATTTTTTAAAATGTAAAATTAATTAAGAAAAGTAAATAAATATAATGGTAGGTAAGATTAAATAGAAAAAATATACAAAGAATGTTAATAACTGTTAGTATATATATATACATGGTAGGATATATAAATGTTAGGTTCTACCGAGCATTTCCTTGCCTCTTGTTTGGATGTTTCCTAACAAAACGATAAAATAAAATAAAATAAAACACTTGTGCGTCTAAGAATTTGGTATAATTTTGTGTCCCACCAAATTTTGGGTTTTTAAATGGTCAACTTAACTAGTATTTAAGAGTAAGTATGTGTAAATGCAAGTGGAGCAAAATATAAATCGTCTATTGTGTACTTTTTTTTTTTTTTTTGAGAAAAGTGGGAGGTCTTGAACATAGAACCTTCTGCTTATAATTCCTCTGCCTTAAATTGTGAACATGTACACTACAACAAAAAAATTATGCTTTTTAAACATTCAATTAATCTTTAAATAGTTTCTCAACTAATTTCTGTGCATGTTAACTTAATGAAAACTACATTAATTATAAATTGTGAATGTGTACACTATAACGCAAAATTTATGCTTCTTAAACAATAAAATAATCTTCGCACATAATTAAATAGTTTATCAAGTACTGAGAAGGTTCTGATCTAGCGGTTAAGATTGAGATCCTAAAAATTAGAGGCTCAAACTTCAAATCTTTATTCTCCCTTCGCTGCTTCTTAACTTTCACTCCTACCCTATTGAAAAAGAAAAACAAAAAAAAGATAGATAGTTCCTCAAGTAAGTAAGTTTCACTCCTACCCCATGAAAACCAGATTACTTACTAAGCCAAGAGCTTGGCTGTTTTGGTAAATAATTATCACGCACGTAAAGTGGAGTGCAAAGTACTACTAATCAAATCAAATACAACCAGCCAAAATTCATGTGAAGAAAGATAGCTCTAAATTCCTATTTACGGCCTCGAGCAGAGTATCATGTCATGTGAAACAATCGGCGAGGAATCTCCTTCGTGATCCAAATTTGATCTGCATGACTTCTTGATACGGATGTGATTTGGCGGATCGGATATCCGCTGTTTCAGGTTTGTTCGGATCATCTGCACACCCCCTATTAATAGTGGTTAGTCCCACTCCCTCCTACATCCCCATCTGCAAAAGTGAAGGTGAAAATTTGTAATAAACAAAAAGTAGTAAAACAAAAAACCATAAAAGCCCCGGGACTGAGGAAGATTGAATTGAATGACTATGAATTCAATTTCTGATGCCCCGGGCCCCCCTGGTATGATGCATTTTCCTCATCTTCCTCCACATTGGCTTCTGTCCTACACATTGGCAGGATATAAATGCACTGGTATACAGGAAGCACATATATTGATGTAATGTAGTCATACATTATTGTTGAAAATTATAGATATATATATATAATTCAAATATTAAAAAAATCGTTTAAAATATTGCTCATATTTTAATAAATAGATTTTTTTTGTCTTTCGCTTTGAAAATAATAATAACTTTTCGTCGTCAAAGACTTTACCGGTAGCAATTTCTTGAGGTCGACTGAGTAGTTGACTCGAGGGATCATTCTTGCTCAAGTCCATTGTGAAGAAATATGGCTCAAAATTCATGATGAAATAATCACGTGAAATAATCGGCGAGGAATCTCCTTCGTGATGCATCAAATCAGAAACCCTTTTTCCCCGTAAACTCATTTGTCTCCGACAAAAGGTCTGTAGTGTAAAATGCGTTCAGGATTGGTAGATTTCAATGCTTCTTCCCAATGTCTCGTTGCAGTAGCCAGTTTGGACTTTGCAGATTCTCAATAAATTCTCTTTTGCCCGAATTTTGGTCCCCTATTCCCAATACCTTGATTACCCTGGTTAGCGGACCTTCACGCACGCATTGGAATGTTGACTCGATTCGCAAAAGCGGATCAGTCATTTTGTGAACCATATTCGGATCCTCCGCTAATGCGAATATCCACACATATCTGGCTGCAATATGCAGTCGGGTCAATTAGATATTCGACTCGTATCCATTTTTAATTTTTTTAAAAAAAAGTATAAATCCAAAAAGTAAAATGAAATTTAGATGCATTAGAGTTTCAAAAATATCATGTGCCTAATTTGCTGAACTTTTTAATTTTGTTTTGTTGCAATATAAAGTAACTTTTATATCTTTTTTTCTTATTTTGATTCAAACAAATAATATTAAATATTTCGTCTACAATTTCTTTATCCACAGATTACACAACAATATGTTTGAAAACTTAACATCATATGCAAAGAAAGTTTATTTTGAAAGATGATATAGATGTGAAAATAAGAAACAAGAGATAAAATAATTATAAATTAGTGGATTTAATGTATCAACAATTCTTAAAATAAAAAAAAATACTATACGGATGGGATCAAATATTCATGGGTCACAAAAAATGATATCCGAACTCGACTCGCATAACTTCTTGATCCAGATGTGATTCGATCCACATATGATCTGAGGGATTGAATATTCGTTATTTTGCATAGGATCCAAATCAGATCACTGGATCCAAATCCGATCGGATTGTTTGGATAGGGTATTATTTGAAATATTTATTTGAAATAATTACTATAGCACTTTTTATGATGTAATGTATATGAAATAAAAAGGTGGTTGGTCGATAGCCCCACTTCCTCCTACACGCCCTTCCGCAAAGGGGTAGGTGAAATTTTGAGAAAAAAGAAAAAGGTTGAAAAACAAAAACACACAGTAAATTTGAGACAATGACTCAGGAGACAACCAACCAAAAAACTGCCATTCTTACTTTCGTAAGAAAATGTTGGCAAAAAAAATAAAAATAAGAATAACTAATGCATTCAATTTCTGATGTGCAGGGCCCCGGTATAATAGTTACCCCATCTTCCTGCACATTGGCTTCTGTCCTCGGCAGGATATGAATGCACTGATATACAGCAAAACATCTTTGGAAGCGCGTATATTCTTCTTTTTTTTTTTGAAAATTATATATATATATATATATATATATATATATATATTGTAAAATATTAATATTACGAATTAAAGTGACACATTGTACTAAAAAGATATAAAAGTAATATATCACTACTAATCGACTTAGAATGGAGGGCCTCTTTTTCTTTTTAACAAAAAAATGGAGGGCCTCTTTAAATCTTGCCAGATCCATGTTGATCAGTTTTGGACCAAACCTTGTTATATATATTAGTTTAAAAAAGTCTCCAAGTCTTATTACAAGTTAAAAAAAAAAAATATAGTGGGGGGAACATTTGAAGACTTGAACAAATTAATATTATTATTCGGCTACTAGGCGCTCATCAAAAACTTCCCGGGTATCTTGAGGCCGACTCAGTATCGAGCCCGATTCATTGACTAAAAGTAAGCCAGTGTAATCCATTGGAATTGAGGCCCAAAAGCAATGAGCCCATTTATTACATCACTTGGGCCATATCGCAACAAGGAAAACTGAAGCTTAATCTTTGGAATGCTAGTTTTTAGAGTTTCTTGTATAAAAATATTATGATTAATCTTTCGCACATTGCATTGTATATACTTTTATTATTAGATACATGATATATAATTTGAATTTAAATTTAAAACTCAGAATTTGCATATGTGTTGTGCATTCAACTGTAATAGCGTATACACTACTGTCAGTGTATATAAGATTTGCTCAAAATATTAATGTAGTAGTGTGATGTATATGAGATAGAAAGAAATTGAAAAATGTGTCTAGAAATTCCTTTTTTTTTTTTGGGGGGGGGGGTCAAAATTACCATTCCAAGCAAGGTTTAATTTTTCCTAATGAAAACTGGTTTTTAGGCTAATGCAATCACGTGCATGGTCCAATTTGATATTAGTTTAATAAAGCAATTAAGAAGCACTTCTTCTTCTCTACCTTTAGGGGAAAAAAAAAAAAAAACCCCCGAATGGAAAATGATGGCAGAATTTGAACAAAAGCACAATTCGATAGCTCAAACACCCAAATATTTGAACCTAAAATTATCCACCTTAGCCAATGCTATGTCATAACTCGATCAGGGCAATCTTGGGGTTAACATACATGAAGCTTGTACATAGGAACTACTCCCTAGACATGTTTTTCTTGCTCTTTTTTATTCTGTTAAATAATTTTTTCGCTTTTCTAATGATGTGGAACTATAATTAAAGTTAAGTGGCATGCAGATGTGACTCAAAAAAATAATAATAAAAGGAGCAGCCAGCAGATAGTTACCTTACTTCTACAAAGCTGCACCAATACAAGATTGATTGGTTCCCCGGTTGCATGTCTTGCTTTCTCAACCCTTAAGCAACAGCAATATCCATATTGATCTAGAACTGCAACTTCAATATAATATTTGGTTTAGGATTTCTTTTCGCCCCAAAAGTAGATAAAGAAGATCTTTGAACAAGAGATATTGAGACATTATTATGTTCTAGCTCGACTAAAAAAGTTAGTTGATTCTTGATCAGCAAACCTCGATGATGTCTATCGCCGAATTGAATTATTCTTTTGCTCATTTAGACCCTAATAGTAGTATTAGTAGAAGTAATAGTGAGATTTGGTGTATCTTTGTATGGATTGGATCCATCTTCTTTTTAGGTACTTTTTCAGAGTGGTTCATGCGAAAGTGCATCTATAGCCAACTTTTAAGTAATGAACCTATTCCAGCCCCCCACAATTTATTTATGGATAATATCAGAAACCTCCCTTAAGGTTTCTTCTAATATCACTTAGCACACTTAAAATTTTGAAGATATCACTTGACTTACCTCCCCTATTAATTACAAAAAGATTATATTAACTCTCACTTGATACATAATTCACATATCAAATAAACGTAACTCAAAAAAAATTTAAAAAAAAGAAACATAAGTCACTTCATTCTCTTTCTTCTTTCTCCAACATTCTCTCTTACACATTTTTTTTGATGATTATGCGATTTTTATTTGTAAATTATAGTAAATTGAATTTTGTTTATCTTTCACCTTTGTGATTGTGATAGAGTGGGGTAAGATTTTTTTTGTTTATTTTGAATTGATTTTTATAATGATCAGTACAATTTAAAGGATTGGACACGGATTGCGAAGAAGTTGGAAAAAAAATATAAGGATCATAAGAAATCAATTTTGAGCATATAGAATAAAATTGGTACTAGTGTATTTCTTTACAAATATCTTTTTTGTTTTTCATATTTGTACTTTTATGGACTATAGCATTGTGCCCTGGTAGTACTATTAGAGATTATTTTTTAGGTGATGGTTTTCTTGAAACAGACAAAGTAACTTACGAGCATTTTTATTTAGCGAGCAAAATGGTAGTTTAGGGTTTTTAACACAAATAAAAAAAAAAAGTAAAGGAGATTAAGTGATAATTTTAAAACTTTAGGAGTGCTATGTGATTTTAAGAGAAGCTTTGGGGGAGGTTTTTTATATTTTCCCTTTTATTTAAGTTCTAATTAAACGTGATTGATTGCATAAATAAAATGAGAGATAATGGAGTGGCGATAGAAAGAGAGGAATAGAACACCATGGAATGATTAGACTTGTCTATGATTTGAGGTCGTGTGTTCCTTCTTCCAAATTAAAAAAAGGCCGTATGTTCCTGAGCATGATTTTTGTACTGATCACTAACAGTATTTTAGATGTAGTTTGCACTTTAGTTAGACTTAATGTGTCGGCAAACCACTAGTTTTTTTTAGTATAAAACATTTATGTGTCCGCCTATATATATATGTATATATAGCTTTCCTAGTAGCAATCATCTTCATTTGGATTTCACTTGATTTGTTTTGTGCAACACACTCTAAGCCATGCCCAAATGTGTACAATCTTTCATCCCATGATGGCATTAACTAAAAAGAAGGAAAAGGAAGAGGGAAAGAAACGCCTTTACTCTCAGAATTGACCAGGATGAATTAAACGATAATAAACTAGACTTCTTGGTTGTATCGAATTCGAGTATTTGGATTTTGTAACCAACTCAACTCCATTCTAACCGTGGCAAATGTTATGATGCTTGCATGATCCTGATTTACGAGCAGTGCCCTTGAATTTGATCCCAAGGTACTAAATCTCAAGAAATACAAACAGATTTACTTTTACCTTCTTGTTATCTAGTCCTCACTTGGCTACAAACAGATGTGGAAGTACTTTCAAGTGTATTCTGCTACAATATCCACACTGAGGAATGGCCTAATTGTGCACCCCTTAGCGTACCTAGATATGATTTTGCGGGCACTGTCTGTGACAACAAGATCTATGTTGCTGGAGGGCACTCCGCGCTGGCTGGTGCCAGGGGCACTGCTGCCGCTGAAGTGTATGATCCCCTGACAGATAAATGGGCTCCCCTGCCTAACACGAACAGATTAAGGTGCAAATCTGTAGGTGTGACGTGGCGAGGGAAAGTCCACGTGGTCGGTGGATTCGTCCAATCGTATTACATAGATGGGTGCTCGGCTGAGGTGTACAATGTACAGAGTGGCAAGTGGGACCTTGTTTCTGGCCATCTGTTTGGCTCTGGGGATTGCCTGAGTGCATGGAAAGGTCATATTGAGTTCGACGACGGAAAACTCACTACATGGAACGTGGTTGAAGGGTCACAACTAAAAAGATTTCCATCTCCAGTTTCCACATATCTGAAATATGGTGGTGAAGAAGACTTCCAACCCATTCAAGGGCTGTACCTAACTATGGCACCAACTGGAAGTCATCTGTATTTCTTGGCTGGTTATAAGGTGCCAGGGGAATCATCAAGAACAATTTCAATGGTCCATTCAGTTGACACATCTGCAACAACAGCAACAGCAGATCATGCATGGAGGAGCTTTGAGCCAATTGAAGAAGAGGGAGTGAGGGAGCTTTGCAGCCATTGTCCAGCAGTCCAACTATCATAGATAGTTCATTTTGGTGTCCTTTAAGGCTTTGATTTTGCCTAGTGGATGCAATTTTCCAGGTTACTGAACAAGGGTTTCCTCTACTGTATGTTTAGTTACCTAATCAACCCAAAAAAATTAAAATAAAAAAAAAAAATCCTTACCTATCTCTCTACATTGAAAATGATCACGAGGGACATTTGATTTGAGATACTTTCTTCTTCGCAATTCCAACTCTGCACAATGCAGCCGAAATTTGTGACTGATATGTCATTCCAAAACAGGAACAGGATTAGCAATTTAAATCATGATTATGTCAGGTCTGGTTATTTACAAGCAATCCATTCATAGCCCCTGGATGGCATGTTCATTAAGTCAACCAATGATGCTGCCTCCTAAGGGCCTACTTTAGAGTAATCAAACAGTGTTCCCTCCCTGCCCTTGATTGTGTTTTTAGATGACTTTCTAAATCTGCCCCCCACCCCCCTTTCCACAAAAAAAAAAAAAAAAAAAAAAAAGATTAATTAAAACAATTTAATTAATCTTTTTTTTTTCCCTTTCTTCATTCAGTTGGGCCCTACAGTTTGAGATTAGGTGACACTAAATCAGTTTTTATTGCCCATGATTATCTCCTTTTCAACTAATAAGTATTTTAAATCATTTCACTAGCGATCAAGAACTCATGCCATTAACACAAAATGCTTCCCCTATGGACCCAAGTTGTCCCCATGAATGGTCTGCATGAAAGAATGGTCATACTGAATCAAATAGAAATCGCACAAAGACCCAACTCGTAAAAGGACTTTTACAACCTTCCAATGACCCAATCTATTTTCACTTTCTTTTACTTTCCTCCATGATCAAGTACCTCTTCTTTTGACCACATGCAAAAACTGAATCCTATGTTTCTGTCCCGTATGCTCTGATTTCACCCATTTGGTTTTTTGGACTTTTGACCATTCTTTCCAGAAAATTATGACCACATAAAATTTCGGCAAAATCAATCAAGCCCCCAAAAAGCAATGATATGATTATGATGTGAGAAAACTTGGCCCACAAAGACCAATCATAGTGTGACATGTTTTGGGCCAACATCTTTTCTACTATGTTTTTTTTTTAAGGCTTAATATTGGGCCAAGACAAGATTTGTGGCTTCTATTTAAATAGAGGAGAGGCCGAGTGCAATTCGAGCATCAATTCATCCTTTTCTCTTGCTCATGAAAAGTAGAGAAAGTATCTTCTTCTTCTAATCTCACTCAGTAGTAGGAGCCAAGAAAAGCGAAAAAAGGTCTTTCACGTGAACCCTTATGAGTTATGACCCATGAGCTCCGCCTCACCAGCCCCACCACCTGACCCAGCATTCACAGGTCCACACCCATCTGACACACACTCCCAAAACACAAGACAGAGTTAGCCCCCAATCGGAGCTACTGAAACAAACATTTTCCGTGCTTAGTCACTTATAGCATTGAAATTCTATGAGTATAAAAGCGTATGAAGCTACAATAAATGATGTATCCCATCAGTACTGCTATTTTTTAAAATTTTTATAAAAAAATATATTATAAAAATATGATGTATACGAGATAAAAAAAAATGATCCAAAAATATATTCACAAAGACGTAATTTTTTTTTTTAAAAAAAAGACAATCCAAATTAAGAATATATTTCATTTGTTGTACATAAAAGTCGCTCTATATTAAAAATTGATACGCGTAAATGACTGCATTTTGCATTTAAAAAAAAGGTATAAACACTAAGCAATGTCAAGTTTAATGCTTTTGTTGTCAAATTAGCCAACTTTTAAAGTTCAATTTCTACAATTTTTTTAAGGTGAGAGTAATTTTAGTTAATATTTAAAATTCTTATTCATTTATAGCAGTAAAAGGCAGAACATGATACTCAATCCATAACACATATCTAAAGATAACTTAAAGGCAGTTTTATTTGTTAAAAGCACGTCAAGTTGTTGAAAGCTTAAAAATAATTTTATTAAAATTATCTGTATTAAATGTGATTTTTTATAAGCCACTGCAATCTCAAACTGCGTCTAGAATTAGCATTTATCTGATTTTGTTTCTCCCAAATTGCAACGGATACCAACAGAAAGAGGTGGTTAAAGAATAAAGGGATAATTTCATTGACCTCTCTTGAGGTTTCGAAAATAACACTGACCTTTCCTCAACTGATTTTGGAGCCTATTGCTGATGTAACCTGGAATGAGTTTACTACTTTGCCCTTATGCATAAAAGGGTGATAAGAAACCAATTTCTGGAAAAATATAATTAGGTCATTAAATAAATGAACTAATTAATGATATTAACCGTAGTTTTATCTCTAATAAGCCAATGTAACTACATTTAAGAAATGGCATTAATTGATGCACCAATATGGAGCCACTTTTTGTGATTGGACATCACTTCAAAGAGCAACACAAGGAAAATATTATACGAAAACTTGGAGAAGATGGAAAAATGGAGGGAAAAGAAGGAAAAAAACATGGCTCCCCTCAAGTTAAAATATGCTGATTTGCATTAAGATTATTGACATGCTAACCACTCATGCTTTTGTATATGGTTGGCATTAGTGACAAACAATCAATGGTCATGAAATTTGGCTTTGTAATCCTCACCATCTACCTCATTCATCTAGGGCAGATGGTGTTTGAAACTATCTTGGATTGCATCGATAGTTATGTAATACTACAACTACTACAATTATAGCAAATTTGAACTAATGTTAAGTAACTTATGTCGCCTTACTAACTAGTTCAACTAATATTTTGTTGATTATTATCTCTTAGTAAAGGTACAGTAGTAGTCATCAAACAATAATAGTCATACATTTCTTCCAAATACAATCCAACTGACAAGTACTATTGGTTTACTTCTTACATAATCAGAAAAGACTTAAATGGTTGATACAATGTCGTAGCACTTTTATATTTGTTACTAGAGTTTATCCAATTGATATTATATTTTGGATGAATATAGATACAAGACCTAGTGTGATATTTATGATGAGTATCATGTTAACTATGGCCTTTGGTTGGTACAGCTTTGCCATTTTTTAGTACCTCAAAATTTGATAATCACACCAAAAATAAATTATTTCTTGAGTTGCTTGAGCCGTTTATATGCTTTTGAAAGAAACTTAAAATATGGCCATTGCACTAGCCATTTGTGCAAACTAACGCTTCAAGTTGTTGTTACTGTACTTTTTCTAATTGCTATTACACCTACTAGAATTTACTAATTATGTACGTCTCTTTTAATAGTTTTCATTATTTACTAATACAAGTTGTGGATAAGCAAAAAGGGTATATGTAGAACACAAATATCATCTCACTCCTCAAAATATTTTTTTAATGCTCATTTGGCTGATCATGTTACTACAACTATAAGTTCAAGGGAGGTTTATGTCATTTTCAAAACCTTAGGGGAGGTTAATGAAATTACTGGAAACCTCAGGGGATGTTTCTGAAATTATCCCAAGAATAAAAGAAGAAAACACAGTCTCCCACAAAACCGCTTCGGCCCTACTTTCCGCGGCCGCAAGCCCCTAACCACCCAGCAGAAGTCAGAGTCTCAGAGAAACCAATGGTCCCCACCCCACCCACACGCAACCCTCACGTGCAATTGCTGCTCATACGCACGCGGGCTTCCCGAGTTTCTTTTGACTCATCTGGAGCGTTGACTACGGGACTAAGCGATCCAACGGTCCAAGCCCGTTGATCTTTCCAGAGGATCTGGACCGCTCGATTGGGGGACAATCTCGAGAAATAAATGTCCCATTTGTTGGCGAAAACCTGAAAGGGCCGACATTTTTTAGAGCTGATGTATCGAGTAGGAGTAGGAATGAAGCTTTACGCTTTTATTCTTGACTTTCCTAATTTACCCCTTGTACAAGGACTAATACTACTACTACTAATATCGGGTGGGACCTCAATGCCACGTGGAGATGATGATTTGGATGTCTTGTTGACACGTGTATTAAAGAGCGTTTCTTGGCGACCAAAAGGGGAGGGATGATGACAATTGGTGAACAATTTATTAAGGCTCAAGAAAAGTACCAGCGCTCATATGATTATTATAATTGAAAAAATTTTATTATATTATTTATTGTTAACGTTTTATAATGTGACGATTATAAGTTAAAAAGCGACAGAAAATTTGTTTGAGAACACTAAAATTAATTTTTAAAAATAATGACATCCAAATAAATCCGTTAGTTTATTTTATTTTCTTTCTTTCTTTTTTTTTAGAATATTGTGTCCATATGAGTAATATAAATCATAAATGCACAAAAGAGTACAAGTTAGAACCTGTATGCATCAGTTTAGCCATTCTCTTATTTTATTTTTTATCAATTTAGTGGGGAAGCAGTTAAATGGATACAGAAATGTGAAAGAGATGGATGCAGCCGCTCTCACCATGATGAATGCTATTAGTTTAAATTTGAAAGTGGAAATTAGAGTGCCTATAAAGTGGAAATTGTATCGTACTAAGGTTTCATTTGAGGTCTCGATGGCTTGTAAAAAAAACACTTCTGATATAAGTACTTTTAAATTATCAAAAATTAAGATACTTAAGTTACGAAAAATTAATTACTAAACATCCTGTAAACACTTTTACTGCTCAAAAGCATTTTTTTTTTTCCTTCTCAAACGAGCCCTAAATTACAAATCGAATTACCATTTATTTGTTTAAACAAACAAACACTAAATCCAGCCGAGTAATAATAATATGCATCCTTCAAGGATTAGATCAATCAGCTCCAAACCATTATTGCTTGGTCAATGTAGACAAATACCATACCTGCAATAAAAGCCCTCAACCTGCCATGTCGGACGCCAAGTCATCTTGTCCAAGTAGGTGGGCACCAAAATTTGCTTTTGGCGAGCGGCTTAGTTGTAAGAGTCCTGCAATTCCAGGGACCACAATTTGCGCTGCATGTTGCATGTTTTATTATGGAGGCAGGCGCAGCTTAAATACTTTACCAACACTTTTGTTGTAGAAGCTCTACTGCTTACTAATGTGGTACTTCCGCCACTTTAGTACTTTCCTCTCCCCAAGTTCCTCAGATGTTGCTGAAATTTAGTATTGGACATTGGCAGATGGATTTAGGCCCATATGTTTCGCTTTTACTCCAATAATGCCCCCCCCCTCATCAACATCAACAAAAGTGCAGAGTACTTGGGTCTGGGGATGTTATTGTAATTCGACCTGACTAAGTAGGAGACAATAGACAAAAAGGGCAGTTATTGGGCTGGGCCCCTCAAGATTAACTTTGTTATTAGAAAAAGGTGTAGTAATGGAGCTGGCAGGGACCGTTGGTATAAGTAGTGGACCTATTCATCGGATGTAAAAGTGGTACTCTGGAGTTTGATTATTGATTGGGCCTTGGCGTCTTGCTTAATTAATTATTTTATTTTTTTCTCTCTTTTTCCTTTTTGGGTTTTTTTTTTCTTCTGGGTAAGGCGTCCTCTCATTTTCTCTGCTGCACTTTGGGAGCTGAAAATGAAATTGTTGGGGTTGAGTGGGTCAATTCCCAATCTTTGCTCTATATTTGCCCGAAACATGCTTCAGTAATTGGGTGCAAGAAAAGTTTATTAGTTTATCTTTTATGTCCATGTTGAAAATAATATTGCATCATTTCCTTTGGAGCCATTAGACTGTGTCTATTCGTGTAAGATTAGATCTGCAATTATTAGATTGACTGTTGGCTGACCTACAAGTACAGGACATCCCTACTTGGTTGCCACATACCAGAATTCTTCTCATACTTTGTGCAACGAATGGTAAACCTAGCCAGTAATGTTCTAAAAATCGGACCGTTAATTGAACCTGTGAAATGAAAGGGTCGAGGTTCAATCGGTCGGACCGGTTCAATCTTGGTTCAATGAATTTTTTTAAAAAATAAGTTATATAAATATATATGTACAAAATAAGACATGTAATGGACTAATTTAATACTTTACATGATGAAAAGTTTACTATTTTTGAATAACTTGGATTTTTAAAAATAAATTATTTATTTTTGAATTATAAGTTAAAATAAATAAATTTCATCTCAATTGCAATTATATCTACCAAAAAATCTTAAATCCAACCCAAAAATATCACAATATTTTGAAATTATACAAAATTCACGTCTATGAGAATTTAAACATTGTGAACTTAAATTTTAATTTACGTTTTGGGATTTAGAGATTGCAATTTAAAAAAAAAAGTTTGGAGTTCGAAAGAAATCAAGATAATCGAAAATAGAAATGCAAACTTGATAAGAAACAAAAAATGAGATAAAAATAAGTGGTTGTGGCATTAAATAATTTGGGTTAAAAAAATTCTTTTTTAACTTTTTTAATTTAATGGACAAAAATAAAATTAAAAGATGTAAGAAAACATCAATAAATTAAAAATAAAGATGTTTGATTAAAAAGGGAGTGACAAAAGAAAAAGGATAGAGAGAGAGAGTTGAAGATTAAAAAAAAAAAACCATGAGAGAATGAGATTTTGTAAGAAAAATGGAAAAAAGAAATATGAGTGTTTGTTTTATATAAATAAGTTATAAAAAAAATTAATAAGATGTGATAGTGCAACAATTACTATATTGGTCTTCTATTACAAAGATCATGAGTTCGAATCTTGAAAGCTATATTTTGCAAAATGTAAATAAAAAAAAAAAGAGAAAGAGAGAAAAACTCGAAAATCGGGAAAAAAAACAGTTCAATCCGGTTTTGACGGTTTCACGGTTGAACCGATTTTTGATCGATTTTCTAGCATGGTCAATCCTAACATAGAACCGGACCAGTGCCATGGCCGGTTCGCTGTTCAACCAGTTTGGCCCGATTTTCAAAACATTGCTACCAAGTCATTTTTACAAATGTTATTAGCTATTTTTTAGGGTGTTTTGAAATATTTTACTGTAACAATGTATATGAAAATTTTTTACTGTAGATGTTTTTAGTGATATTTTTGGATATATTTTTGTGATATATTTTAGGGTATTTTTAAAGTTTAAAAATTTTTGGAATATTTTTTTAAAAATTAACATTCCACCCACCTAGAGGTGCTATCGAGCCGAGTCGAGCTCGAGTAGCACCATACTCGAGCTCGAGCTCGATCAAAATTTGTGCTACTCGAGCTCGATCGAGTAAAAAAATTTGGACTCGAGCTCGACTCGATGAAATAAAACTAAACTCGAGCTCGAGTAAGCTCGAGTAAATATCAAGTCCGAGCTACTCGAGCTTGAGCTCAAGTTTTGAAATAAATCTATAATTTTTTTAAAAATATATAATATATAATATAATATAAATATATAATATAAATAAAATATGAAAGCTCGATTAATCTCGACGAGCACTCGAGTATTTATTTCTTGAGCTCGAACTCGACTCGTTAAATTTAACGAGTAGTTCGAGAGCTCGAGCTCGATTTTACCGAGATCGAGTCAAGCTTTTGATCAAGCTGCTCGCGAGTAGCTCGCGAGCAGCTTGACTTGCTAGCACCCCTACACCCACCACTATTACCCACTACCCTCACCATCCCCTCTCTCCCTCCTTCACTCTTCTCCCCGTCCTTCTTCCTCCCTTTCCTTTCTCTGCCCTTTCTCGTTACACCCTACCCCTACCTTTCCTTCCTCTCTCCAATCTAGTTGAGGCTAGGAGGAGGAGGTGGGCTATGGCGGGAAAGGGAAGAGAGGAGGAGGAAAGAGAAAGAGAAAGAGAAGTAAGATAGTGGGTGGGGGGTGATGGTGGTGGTGATAGATGAAACAAGAAAATAGTGTATATTTTATTTTTTAATATTTTTGTGTACTTGAAATTGTTTTTGATATATTGTATAGATATGTATTTTTTGAATTGTATTTGCTTGTGCATTATTATAGTATTATATACAAAAAACTTATTTTTTAAAAAATGGAGAAACCAAACAGAGTCATTTTTCCGAGAGTTTATAAGTGTGAAGTGAAGACGACAAACTCTAACTCTTGCAAGTTATGTGTTACGTAACCAGGTCACCAACTTTTGGGCTGCTGGCGATCATCAGGCGAGTGCGTAGTGCACTCGTTTGGTCCAGTGATAGTTCAGTCCCATCTGGATTACTCTTGGGTCTTCTTAGACCCGCTCCCTTCCCCTAATGTAGGACCAATATGTATGTGAAATAAAAAAATAAAAATTTTTTTTACGATTATAGATTTTTTTTTTGGTTGGAGGGAAGGGGGAGTTTAAAATTGACCAACTCAAACAAACCCAATATATTTCCATCATATCTATGAGTTTTTTCTATGTAGTAAGTATTGCAAATAATTTATATGTGCTTTGGATGTAATATACTCCCTCCGTCCCACTTTGATAGTTCCATTTTTTTTTCACACAGTTTAAGAAAAAGCAGTTAACTTTGTTGGAAAAATAAATTTAAATTGCTATTTTTCTAAAATACCCTCACATTAAATATGGTACAACTTTATGGGAATTTGAATTGATAGTAAAAAAAGAATCAACTCTCATTAAATGGGGTAAGTTTATAGTAACAACAACTTACATTGAATAAGGGTATTTCAGGAAAATTAAAGTACAACTACATTTTTCAATTGAAAAGTGGACTACAATTTGGGACAGACGAAAAAGGAAAACGGGACTATCAAAATGGGACGGAGGGAGTAATTCTTTCGAACAATCTCCTAATTTCATAAAATTTGAAGGGATTATTGTGTTAGTTGGGAATGATAATGCGAAACATTTGCAGAAATCTATTTCTAAAGGATTTGCATACTAAATGACATGCCTAACCTTAAGACAATTACACTTAGGAAATCAATTTGGAACTATAAAAATTGTAACTCATATTTAAAATGTTCAATGTTTTGAGAAAATGTAGTAAAACCAAAACAAATGCAAAATCCAAGAAAGAAATTGTCGTTTCAATTGAAAATATTCTTGTTTGTGAAGCTCGAACCATTTTAGTTTATAACATGGTTTCACATTAAAAGCATTAATTTAGTTTTGACTAGTGTTGTAAAAAGTCACGAGAAGTACAAATAGTCAAAATTTCACCCCACTTTTTGTTGGTTTATTTGAAATGATCTTTTTTTTGTTATTTATAAAATTGTTTCCGTACCAGAAGTTTTCTAAAATTAAAGACTTCACCTCTCAGATACTGAAATTCATCAATTATGGTAATTTTATTCATTTTAGATTAGCCATTGGACGCCCGGTTAGCCGGTACCACCACCTTATGCCTTATTTTGGTACAAAAGCAGCCCTGAGCAGAAAAAATGTGGAAAACTAGAAAGGGGAATGGGGGAGTTCCGGAACCTGTGCATGCGTGTCGAAAAAATTAGGAGGGAGCCCGCAGGTAACTACTTCTTGGAAAGTCCTAAGAATCCAATTAGGCCAATAAGGCACTACCTAACTAGAGGTCAAACTAGTGGAGTTTTATTTATGACACCTATGCCTTCAATTAAGGGAAGGGGTTCTTATTAGGTGGGGTTTTTGTATTTGGGAGGACAAAGTAGCTGAAATATTGCCAAAATAGAGTAGTTAATAGTAGTATATCAAATTAGTCCAGAAGTTAAGGCTTAAGTTCTTTAGGCTTGCCTGCCTCTGTAAAAGAAACGACGACTCATATGTCAAACAGTCAGCATTCAGCACACAAACGCAACAGTTATTCATTCTTTGTTTTTTTTTTGACATATCATAAATTCTATTTTACGTCTAATCTTATTCTTACTGTATACTGAAAAAAAGGGGGTCAATGAAGTCAATAGAAAATTTGGAGGGACTGAACTGTTACCGAATGAAAGGAATATATTTGCACCTTTGAGTGAAATTTCAAGAAATCCTGAATAGCGATCCACTCCAAAGAAATTCACTTAGATGCTTTCATATTTCCAAAGTATTCAACTTCTTTTTCACTGCACAGCTAAATGACTGAATGGAAGAACGATAAAACGCACAAACCGCAGCAGTATAGCACAAGCCTTCCTTACTCCTTATCTAACTTTTCTCTGTCCAAATCCCAAAGCTCTCTCTTCTTCAACATCTCTGTCTCAAGACTGAAGCAACAAATTTGTACCCTTTCCTCAGTCCTCACTCTCCTCAGCATTTTAACCACTGTTCTTGCTTCAAAAAGCATTTTCTAGTCAAGCTTCTCATTTAGTTCCCCATCTTTTTGAACTGCCATAACTGTCTTCTTGCATATGTTCTCTCAGTCTTTTGATCACCACATTATGTTTGTGATTGTTACCCTTTTTTCCTAGTTCTGAAATTTGGAGTTCTTAAAGGTGTAGAAAAAAGATGGGAGGAGGAGGAGCAGAAGAGGGAATGGGATGGTCACCAAATGGTGCACCACTTTACATACAAAAAGATGATCACTGGAGGCACTTTGATAACTCAGTCAATGCTGTGTCTTTTGGGTTTGTGGCCACTGCAATTCTCATCTCAATGTTTCTAGTAATGGCGATCTTTGAGAGGTTCCTCAGACCAACATCATCAGCTTTGACACCGTCTGCTGGGCGCAGACATCCTCATGACATCGAGTCCCATATTGGGTTTGCAGGAAAACTTTGTCATCCATCACCCAAAGTAAGTGCTTTTTAGCTGCTTGTGTTATTTATTGTTTTTGTCTTGTCTGGATACGATAAGTTTTCTACTAGCAGTCAAAGAATGACCATAACTTTGTGACTTCTTGGGATTTGATTGGAGTTGGTTGTGTGGGATTGCCTGGCAGTCTCAAGTATGGATGAAAGTTTGGATTTTGTCAGTTAATGCTTATTCGTGGTCTGGATTTTGTCAGTTTGTATTTCCGTAGATTATGGCCATCTCTGTTAATTTTGGGGGTTTGGCACTTCTCTTCCGCTAATTGGTTTCTTAGCCATTTTTCGCTTCTTTCATTCTTTTTCTGCTCTCCTTGTTTGTGCCCATTAAAAAACATTCCTTTCTTCCTTGTTTTTGTGTTTTCAGGTCTGTGTTCAGACCTGTTTCCACCATCATTTAGGTTTCTTTTAATTCAGGTTATCTTGAAGTTATTTGAAACTTTTCTATGAGAGCTCTTTTTCCTCGGGCAGTTTACAATAATCGTTTAGATGTCAATTTTTAGGCGTCTCTTTTTTCTTCATTGTCTAGTTCCTTTTGTCTTCTCCTTTTCCTTTTCTGGTTTAGGTTGCTTCTTCATCTAAATACACCTCAATCGCTATGATGATTGGATTGGATTGGTACCAATCCAATCATGTGCTATTGTTTAATTTGGAATGCCACTATAAATTTTGTGGAAATAACCTTCCGGCCTCTGTGTTGGGTGGACGGGGAGTTTGTAAGTTTATGGGATCAATACGGCGTCTTCTATCATATCAGAAGTCAGAACGTATGGATGGTGAATTTCCAAAATACATTTCCGCATTGTTGGAAAACTAATTACTTCCTCTGGGATGCAATACATTCCTAGAACCTGCAAGGATTCTCAGAGCTTATGCAAAAAAAAAAGTTTGGTGTCCTTTGGCCCTTGTTTCAGAAAAAAATGAATCCGGCTTCATATTGTCTTAGCCTCTGCGCATTTCAGCTAAAGAATTGGCAGAAGGAGGAAAAACTTCAAAGGCATAAAGTGAAAGGCTGCATTGACTGCTCTGGACAATTTTTACCATTTGAGATCCTTGACAGGTCTGCATGTGCATGTTCCTTAAGTTTGTATGCCCCAGAAAACACTCCCTCTGATTTGATATATTTTTTTGTCAATGGCCCATCAGTGAAGTTGTTAGCTGGTCGATTGCTACCCATTAATGAGATTTGGGACTTTATGCTGCATGAAGCTCCATCATTCTGGTCCATTTTTGGCCCACCACCTGTACTTAAATTCCACTTGGCCCGTCACCATTAATCTTGAAATTCATTCCATCTATGTTATTATCATTTAAAAAAAGGCATATCTGGCCATAAGCTTTTGAATTTCTATTCTTCTCTGATCTGTTTGTTTGTAAAGTTTTCATGTGCTTGGTTGTTTAACCAAATTCTTGTTCTATCCTGCAAACATTTTAGTAATAAAGAGTCGCATACCTAGATTGTGCTGGCTTCTCAGCATGGCATTTAATACCGAGCAAATTGTGTGGTTTATACTGTTTAGTGATTTTCTTTGCTAAATTGTATGGACAATGACGTGCTTGCAAATTCAAGCATTGTTGTCTGGTACAGTTTTTACCAGTTTCTGGTGAAATTCTTTCCCCACATTTACCTGCTTCCAATACCCTCAGGCTTCAACGGTAACAGAGGTAACATTTCGCCTGGATTTTATTGATCCCGAAACAAAAATGAGCATTCCAGCTTCTGTTTCCTCAGGTTTGCGTGACAATCTATGTTACTTGGGTCATAATTGGATGCTTATGCTTTTCTCTCCATGGTTGCATTTTTTACAAGAGCACGAATTTGCTCAGCATGCAGTTGCCCTTTTTCCAAGATTGCTTAGTGGAAGCAAATAGGAGTAGCCGAGGTTCTAACTATGATACACAGTTAATCAGATCATGATGGTCACCATCCTGCAGTGACCAAACTTTACCTGCACTCCACACTTTCCACTTTCCTTCATCATTTCGTAAAAACTTCCATCGGTCAAGTACCGATAGAGAGCTAGCTACCTTTTCAGTCCTCTTTTCAATGAACAAAATATGCTGCTTCTTTGATAAAAGCATGTTTCTATGTGCCATGCGTTTTGCAATTTACAACAGATTGTTCAGTAACTCCTATTTGGTATAAAATTATGGGATCATCTACCATGTGTATACCGCATTTGCGGTATCTCATGGGTCACACTCTTGTTTCTACGAATTGTGGTATACCACATTGTAGAATTTCTCATAAAATAATTGATGCCCTTTGTGAAATACACTCTTGGAAGTCCTTGTGACTCTTTTTGTCGAAATATTTCAGATGCCTACAAGTGCCAGAGAGGTGTCTGTTCTAATGCCTGGAGAAGACATGCCTACCTTTATAGCGCACCCAGCTCCTGTGCCTTGTCCTCCTGAGCGAATTCGATGGCCTTCTCATCAACATCATTCCTTTCCAAAGAGCGCCATGGACCCAAATTCAAGTACATCCTCAGGCTCAATGTGACAGCAACAAACTTCCAACAAAAAAAAAAGAAGAAAGGCTTCAAAGTTTCCATCTTTACTTTCACTTTGCAAGCAACTGGTGCAGCAGTCACGTGCACGAGTAAAAACTGTTGGTGAATATAAATCGTGCCTTTTTCCCTACAGGCTCTTCAAATGTTGTATATATCATTTAGGCACGAGCATCTGAAATTTCCTTATAAGAATGTGAGGGGGGGGGGGGGAGCATGCATATAATTCCATCTGTTGTCGATATGCTGCATCATCTTCAGAGTCCATTCAAAGCCTCCAGGTAGCGAGAACCATCGCTACTATCCATTGCAATAAGGAAGGTTAATTTCTTCACCTTGAGTTCACTTGGAGAGTGTTCTTTCTTGGGATGTCATCAATTTTCTCAAGCATGGACTTTGGGGATTGTTCTTCTACTTGCTATAGAAACTGGCTGGCTGAAAGTCATCAAAAAAGTGTACAAGACTGCCGTTATTTAGCTATTTAAGGTTGCAGCTTATGATGAGAATATTTACTTCTTTGGAATCTGATTTGGCGCGAGTATTGTACGCCACCCCCTCGGCTCCTTGCCCTAGTTTAGACCATGCTTTGAATCTAGTCCAGCTATCTCCATCCTCCTCTCTCAAGTCAAATGTGTATCCCCCTTTTCTCAAATGCCCTGCTAGCTGCTCAATGTGTAACGTAGTTTGAAAAAAGGATGGTTTTTTTTTTTTTGGGTAATAAGGATGGTTACTCGTGATAAATGGTCTACGTGATTCTGAATTGATCTTGTTCCTTAAATATTATTCAGATTCCAATAATCGACCAATTTGAGCATTTGATATTGAATTGCAGTCTCTTTTGTGATCAATAGTACGTCATAATGCACAACATATAGGAGAGGGTTGGGTTGGGAAGTAAGAGGGAGGGATTGTAAGTTTAAGTTCAAGAACTCTTACTTAGAAAAGAATAATAATAAATAACACCTTGTATTCAGAAAAAAAAAAATTTGAACTATATTGAGCCCCTACAACCATTGATGGGCATGTTCATAAGTTTTGAACCCAATCACTTTAAGCAGCTCTTTTCAATTTACCATGATAACAAAAGTACCTTACTTAAAATCCCATATTATTCCATATGATTTGATGAACAAGATACAAACACAGCATTTAATATTCCATATTCAAACTACTAAATAAGGGAACTATTATAGACTAAACTCGACTAAACAACAACAACAATAATAATAAAATAAAAGGCCTTCATCAATGTTTGCAAGCACGCTGAATAATGGGACAGGACGTCATATTGCAACTTCCATTTCTTGCTGTTCATCCTGTCCAGACAAGGGGGCAGTTCTGAGAAGGAGTCCGGATATGTGGAAATGAATGGTTCTGATCGGGAGCCCATGTTTTTACGGGCTTCTATATCTCGTAGCCTAGTTTTCTACTGCAGAACAAAAGACAATACTAGTTTTTTGGGCTACTTTATTTAATAAACCGAGCAGACGCATATAGCTCCACTGTGCACCAGTTGCTCTTGAGTTTTCTTTCCACGAAAAAAGCAGGCTCTTAAAAAGTTATTCTATTTTCCTGTCTAATAAACCCTGTGTGCTGAAACATAAAGCAAACAATTTTTTTTTTAAAAAGAGATTCCTTAAAATCAAGTTCTATATCACTAAATATGGAGTCTTCCATTCTATACGTTTAGCAAACAGAATATAGTGAGGTTTGGAGTACACGATAACAAATGGTGCTGATCTGTAGGACTTTTAAATTTTTTTTATGTTAAAGTGTAGTAATTCAAGAAAGGATAATAACGTCAAAATTCTATATAATGCCTAGGACTGCAAACGAATCAAACCGCTTGCGAGCAATTCGAATTCGAACCCGACTCAAGCTCGGTCAATATCGAGGTCAAACTGATCAAGTCGAATTCGAGATCAAAGATATTCAACTCGTTAACTTGCGAATCGACTCGATTATATATATATCTTTTATTTTTTATTTTAATAATAAAATTACATAGATATATTCTTAATATTTTATTATTTGTTAAGAAAAATTATTATTTTATTTATTTTTTTAAAAATAAAATAATTATGTTTTCTTTTAAACTCGAGTTTGAGTTCGATCTTTATATTTTGAGTCCATCGAGCTCAAACTTCATAAAATTAAATTGAGATTCGATTCGATCTGCCTCGTTTGCACCCTAATAATGCCTACTTATTTTGGTGTGCTTGTCCCGCGGAATACAAAGAACCCGCTAATTAGGTAGAGAGATGAACGATGATTGGTAATGTTGAGACGATTGCAGGAATCCCACATAGTTGGGCGATAAAGGAAGTATACATTTGCTTATATTATAGGAGCTTAATGGCACTCTCCTGCGGTGCCTTCTATAAAAAGTAGCTTGGTCCTTTCAAAATTTTGAAAGGTCGGTAGAATAGCTACTCCCTCACTTTGGTTGAAAGTTCTATATTTTCCATTTTGGGATGTTGTAAAATATTTGTCATTTTACTTAAATCAAAGTTACTTTTATTAATCTCTTTTTCTAATATTATTCTCATCTTTGATTATGTTTTACATTAAATTCAAATTTAAATTTTGAATTTTTTAGAACAACTTTGGAAACAAACCTATTAATATCGCAGTCAAGTAATTATTTTTAAAAAATTGAAATCTCGAAATGCCACCAATAATTTGAGACATAGTGAGTATTTGTTTACAACTTATTGCATAAAACTTCAATGGCGTTTCATAGCGGGCAAGTTCCTAAAGCTCAATTGGCAAAGAGGAGATGCACATGTCTTGTTTGCTTCCTTTCTTCTCGGATCAAATTATTGTTTCACGTCAAACAAGAAATCGAAGGTTCTATGACCCAACAACTTAACTGATAGAGATATTAGTTAAATGACCATGAAATTTTGATTCAGCTCTTGAGCCCCTCTCTTTCTCTTTCGTCCTTTTTCTCTCTCTTTCTCCCATAATTAAGAGAATGGATTGAAAGAAGAACCGCAAATAATCGAGAATAAACACAATAAAACAAAGTACTAACAACCAACAAAAAGGCAAAGATAGGAAGCAAATGTCCACTTTCTGTACCGGGAAAATTATATGCTTGAAATTGATGATCTAATCGACATAAAATAAAATTCCGTTCGTCCCATCAAATTTCATTCATCTTGTTGAGACCATGTCGGCCAAGAAAAAGACCCCAAAGACCAGTCCAAAAGAGCAGTTCACTTGTCGACTGCCTGCTGCAATATTGCCTGCCTGCCTGCAGGAGTAACTATCGTTATGATAACTGAACAGTTTTTACTTGATATAACAAGTTATTATACTTTTAACGATTATTTGATTACCTGTTGGATTATCCACTTAAATAGAATAATGCCTAAAAATAAGGAAGTAAGTTTCTCATCTAAAATAGTAAGTTAACCATAGTAATTTGTAACTTTTGTGTCTCAAAAGGTAAATTGGAATAACTATGAAACTTACTTTTAAAAAGATAAATTACTATTTTATATCGCAAACATACTTTTGAGAGAGTAAGTTTAGTTCAAATAATAATAAGTTTTTATACGTAAATAGTAATTCTTACTTATAACATAGTAAATTTGATTAATGACCAAAACTTACTAATTTATGGCACAAATGTACTATTTTGCTTAAAAAACTTATACCAAACCAATACTAGGAAGTTTATTTGAAATAACAATAAAATGTTTTATTAATAATTAAAACTTAGTGCCTTAGTTAGTAAGTACTCGTAATATACTTGTATAATACATGATTATATGTACAATTTAAATTTTTTTTGCATTTCTATATTTTAAAATACTATGAAAAATATTTTGACCTTTCACATAACCTTATAAAATAATAAAATTTTTTTCGTATTATAGTTTTGAATAAGTTTTGAAAAGTTTAAAAATTTGGATAATAATAACAATTCATCTTCCTAGTTATATATGGAATATCACTTATCTATGTAATTTCTATAAGTTAAAACCTATTAATATAATAAGATGATAAAGTTTTAATATATTGATTGTCTGGGACACAAGAAATAATAAGAAATAAACTTGTATTAATATAGACCTAACAAAATGAGAGAAATAGTGTAACAATTACTACAACAATAAAAATAATAGAATTAGTATAACAAAATTAGTATAATTTGGAATTTTTTTTCTCTGGAGATTGTTCACGAATATAAGATCCAACCACTAAACAAAATTCACATGCATATATAATCTATTATATAATTTAAATTAAATTTAGTTCATGTACAAAATGATCTTAAAATAATTAGCACACTACAATACCATATTATTTTAACAACAAAAATTTTTTTCCCAAAAGTCTCCAATATCCATGATATATGTATGAGAGATATTTTACCATATTTTTATCTCTTTTTTCCCATATTTGTATCTCATGTCTAATCATTGATGTTAATTTGAGGAAGAATATTTTTTATAATAAAATCATTTTGAATTTAATTAACAAGTTGAGATTTTTTTAAAAATAAAAGTGAAATATTTTGGGAACTTATTTTTTATTTTCCCAAAATTAAAGATTGCTATTTTTGACCAATTGTTGCCATTAACATTTCATTTTCTAGACTATTTTTTATCAATGTAAAATTAGTTTAGTTAACAATAATTGAAGTTCTGTTGGTCCGAGGATTGGCATGCTATTGTTGTTATTTTACATGTAAATATATAACCTAAGTAATAAAATAAATAATAGCTACTTAAAAGAAAGAAATAGGCGCTCAATTGATTGCATTCAAACTATGAATTCTGTTAGTGCATAATTGCTAAATTATATTTTTATTTATAAGAAATCAATATGCATCATATATTGACCAGGACTAAATTACTGATTACTTAACAAATCATATCTAAACACATGATGTGATATATATTGTATTTGGTCACCTTTATACTCATACTATTTCCCTTCCTTTCTATTTATATTTTAAAGATGCAAAATTCTATTGATTATATTAGTGAAAATGCATAAAATCTTTTACAAAATTATTTCAATTTATTTACAAAATATTAGTACTTATAGGAGAAGCAATGCATTTGTAGGAATGGTTTACTAATTTTTTTAGTAAACATAACTACTACATTAAAAAGTTAAAAAACTTGATTTTATTATGCTTTAATTAGGAGTGCTTTTGAAGAGAAGAATTAGGGATTAATTTCTTTGATTCAAGAATTTTTAGAGATTTTAATTATCAAAAGAAAAAATAATTTTTAGAGATTGTAACTCTCTTATTATTTGATTTAATAAATTTGATATTTGTGCAAATTTTCATATCTTTTATTTTCGGCAACGAAATTTGTGTTTATAATTAGATACAAATATGGTAAAATATCCCTCATATGTATGTCATGGATATTTGAGACTTTTAGTAAAAAAAAAATTTGTTGTTAAAATAACATTGTATCATAGTGTGCTAATTATTTTTGAACCGTTTTATACGTGAACTGAATTTAATTTAAATTATACAATAGATTATATGTGCAAGTGATTTTTATTTAATTGTTGGATCTTATTTTTATGAACAATCCCCCAAGGAAAAAAGTCCAGATCATACTGATTTTTTTATATTAACTGTTATACTAATTTTGTCATTTTTATTGTTATACTATTTCTCAGTTTGTTTGGGCTTTAACTCTTATTAATTTTTGTATCCCAGATGTAAATTTATTAAAACTTATCATCTTATTATATTTCATAGG